TCAGTGCAACCATCCAGCCGCAGAGCCGGAAGACGTTCGTTGTGGAAGAGTACGCTCCCCATAGAATGCAGTCGGAAGTCAGATAAGGATGAGTTCTGTGGCCAACTGACCGACCTAACAGAAAAGTGCTGTATGGACACCATTGTGCTTGCCAGAGACTAAAACACGCAGGTCGGCAAAGTTCAAGTTGACGAAAGTAAACTCAGTGAAAATGGCTCTCGCAGAAAAGGCAGAGATGATCGCCTACTTCAATTCTGCACAGATCACGGCTTCTTCCTGTCGAGCACAAACATTCAGCGATCACGACAACAACGCGCCACCTAGAGGCCCCCATCACCTACCCAGCCGTATGGACACAAATTGATCACACTGTCATCAGTTATCGATGACAGAGCTGCATACGGAATTGCAAATCAAGCTGGAGCACCTAGCTCACTTAAGATCGCACGCTCGTGTGTGGCCAGACCGCCTCAAGTTTTAGTGGATCGCAACAGTGTCGCTGGAAACCGCTTGATGTGGCTGAGGTTTTTGTCCCAAGCGTTCTCAGAGCCTTTTGGGATGCGTTGGACTTAAATTTCAAGAGCATATCGTGCTCTGACGTTGCAACACATTGGCTACACATCTGAGTCGTCACGCACAACTCAATGAACCTGGTCTGTGGTTTCACTAGTAGTCCGGTAGCCCCCCCAGATCCCTGCCAGACCTCCCGAAACATTTCTAGCCATTCGTACAGGTGTTGGGTAGCATTCATTGCACCGGACTAATGCTGTACTCAAACAGCTTCTGCACGAGCCCTGGTGGACGTAGCGGGTCACTGAGATGGAGCAAGCGGCCGCTAGTGGGAGCTTCCGAAAGCATTGGTTTCTGGTCCGATTTAATGGCGGTAATAGGCCGACTGCAAGCGGAGCTTTGTGCCAAATAAATGACGAGCCAAAACACTGTCAACTTGTGTGTTTGGCGGAGCAGTTTTAACAGCAGCTTAACTGGCAAGCAGCAACGATGAGTTCTCCCTCAGGAATCCAGAGTGCTGCTTGGTGTAGACGTTTCACCACCATCAGAAACTAAGGTTGCTCATGAGGTTCGCCTCCTGCTCTTTACAAAGATGGAGGTCTATCAGTTGTTTGGGAGTTAACTTCCCTCTTCCAAGAGGTTTGGACTACCAAAGCAAACCCGTCTGATTGGAGTCTAGCGGATATCATGCCCGTATTCAGAAAGTGCCCAGACAGATCGTGTCAAACACAGATGGGTTGGTTTCATCTGCGTCGCATCCAAAGTGCACACCGGAGACAGCCTGGTACGCGAACTAAACATACGCGAAGAGCTAGCTGGGTTCCGCTCTGGTCGGAATTGTATGGATGACACCTTTACGCTTCGCCAAAAACTCGAGCGTCGTCAAATGATCGGCTGGCCAACGAACGTTGTCTGTTTAAACACACGAGCTGCGTTTGACGCAGTTGATAGAGTTGCTCTCTGGAGTTTTCGGTTGAAAAGGGGAGTGCCCGAGAAGTATGTCAACATTCTTTAAGCCATGTATTCGCGCACCTAGGACCGAATGCAGGTTTAGGGCGGGCCTTTGCTTCTCTCCAAAATCACCAGTGGCGTGAGACAGAACTGCACAGAATCAGCTTTATTGTTCTACTTCGCTATGGACGACATCCAAGAGAGGGCTCTAGGGAGTTGCAGACCCAGTGGCGTCGAGCTGCTTTCGGGAGACCGTCTTCGCGACTTGTAGTAAGCAGACGACATCGTCATAACTTGTGATTCTTAACAGGCCGCCTAAAATATGCTGTGTAAGCTGGAGGTGTCCGTCTCCAGTTTAGAATGACTTTCGCCCCTCAGGTCATTCTCTGGAAGTGGTAGCCAAGTTGGTTTAGCTTGGAAGCTCTAATGGTTTAACAGATGAGATTTCTTTACCAGTCGCCAATGCTCGGGTTGGATATTCTAATCTCCGCAATTTCTGGCGTTGACGCGACCTGTGTTTCTCCCTGAAGGGTCGAGTCTACAATGCGGCAGTGAGGGCGGTCCTGCTCTACGGTTGCGGGACTTGGCTTGTTCGTGTGCACTGTTCCTAGGATGTCTGCTTTCGAGAACCGCTGTTTTTAGTGCATTGCTCAAGGACGATGGACATATCCCGTTAGTGACCTTGCCGGCCGCTGAGTTTCAAAACTTCACTGCATAAGCTTCGGTGGCTTGGGCACTTGCTTCACATACTTACTGGGAGTTTACATCGCCGTATATCCATCGCGCGCGCAGAAGTCGGCTAGAAGTAAAAACAAGGTGGAGAGCGAATGACGTGGGTCAATAGTAAGAAGTCGCTAACCTCAAATTTGACCGCGGTAGGGTGCCCTCGACTCCCTGGCTGGGGCACAAGGATCACGAACACAGCAGAAAACCCTCTCGAAAATGGCTAAAAACCGTGCACAAAATGACGTGTAGCCCTCCGGGAAGCAAGAAGGATGGGCCCGATCACGTAGTCATGTATTAAGATTACGCTCGAATATTTATAGAGTATACACGCAATTTACAACAATCCGTCTCAATGTCTCATCCCTGTTAATTGCATTGTGTCGTTGGCTCCCTTTCCATTGGTTTATGCTTGCTCGCGACGTTCACCCTGTCTAAATCACTTTGGCTTTCTTAGTCGATGTACGATTGGCGGGATTGGGCCCGCGAGCTTCTTCCCTCGGTCCAATGCCACAAGCCTTGCCTCAAGGATGCACGAGTATGCGCTCCTTCGTCTGCTGGTGCCTGATTGGTCACTTGCACGTTCAGTGGATAGTTGCATGGCGGTCGCGATTACGGGCCAACTATTTCCTGAGTGGCTGACCAATCTGCTTCTGAAAACATGCTCACTCCTTATCGGTCTGGCCTGTGACGTTCGATCGGCATTATAGCGTTTCCAATCACCAGCATTTCCAGCCTCCAACACACAAGAAGGAACATGCGAGAAAAAGTGGCCAAGTCTAGCAACCACAAGGCATAACTGCTCGCGCCATAGGATTGTAGATTCGGTGTGAAAGATGGCAAGAACGGATGAAAGTAATTAGTCTTTGGAAAAAGAAAGAACTCGTTCGTTAAAGCAGTAACGCCAAGGTGGCTTCCATAGGTAGACAAACCTATCGATTATTAATAAAATGTAAGGCGAACGGTGAAAAGAGGAGCAACTATTGATCAGCCCTGATGGAAGATCATAAGCTTCTAAGAAGTAAAGGCCACGCCTAAGTGTAACACCGACAGTCTTAAGCAACGGGGTATATAATGGGCGGTTTGCGAGGCAGCATAAATCGAAGCGAAACCGGCTCTTCGGAGACAATTCGATGTCCGCGTCTATCTGGCATTTCATCCGTAACGGTGAATAAGTGGTTTGATTAGTGTTCACGGTTTCTCAGGTACTCTGTTGATTAATAAACAAGCCCAGAGAGCTGCTTTGTCAACAGGATCATACGTTAACTCTTATGTTCAAGGAAACGATGTTGCTTGACCGGTTTGCATTGCGCAGATTTCGCGCAGAGTAGAGCTGATCAACACAGTACCGACCTGAGTGAAACCTAGCCCGCGCTTCGTGTATGCGCTGGTTGTGTACTTGACTGAGCCGCCTTAAGAGAGGGGAGCACTTTAGATGCAACGTAGATGAAACTTACTTCTAGAAAGTTAGCGCGTTTTGTCCTGTAACACATTTTGAAGACAAGCCAGACAATCTACAAACTTTAATAGAGCAGCACAATCTCGGTGATTCAAAAATCCTGGGGAAGTTAAGCCGGCTTATGGATAAGAGATGGCCCACTATCTCTGAAAAGGGTCAGAGGAAATCTGTCTGAAGCATGGGACTTAGTGGTGCTCCAGAACACGAAGCTCACAATTAACCTCGATCTTAGATGGCCGTATAACATATACACAGCGAGGAGCATTGTAAATTTCTGACGAAAAAATCACTAGTGCTGGTGGTCAGATGAATTGCGGTTGGAGGTGCATGGTCCAATGTACAAGTCGATGCAGATCCTCTGTTGGTTATGAGCTGACTGCAAGTGAATTATTGTAACACCGTTTAGTCAAAAATTGTGCCATCCGTGGCGCAGAACAGAAGAAAGCTGATGCGAATTTCTTGATGTGGCTGCCTGTTTCAACTTGATGACAACCTGCACCCATCAGACATCGCGATCCTTCCCGAGGGGCCATCTGATTACAGCGCTAATAGACTTGCAAAGTTGGCTGTACTCAAAACCAACGGGAGTCGATTAGCGGGTTCCAAGAATTTAAAGGAACCGTACAGAGATCAAGTGGTTGATGGCCTCCCTAGTTGTGGTAGTAGACTTGCGTATCATATTGTCCAACGCGCCGCTTTCAGCGACGCTGTTGAGTGCTACGAAAATGCAAATCTACCTCAAACGCACACGAACGCATGACGCAAAACAAGATGGGTACTCTAAACTAAAGTACATCCCGTTTTGCAGCCTGTGGACCAGGTGGTAGAGGGATTTAGAAGGTATAGTTTGCCGTCTCCATGCATGATTGGGTGAAGTCTGAAGATGGGTCGTGGATCGAATGGAAAATAGATATAACAGGTGTAAGAAGACGATCGGACTGATGCATACTGTCTGCAGAACGGGTTTCATCGGATAGTCCACAAGTTATGCACATTTAAGATTTTCACTTTAAAATACCGTCCTAGTGCGATTGAGTTCTACAGGTTTCTTCGTATAGCGTAACTTTCGTTTGCATGTGGATTCATTGCACTAGGGTGCGCAGAAGACAGTTGACTTATGACATAGACTAACACAAAGAGCAACCGTTCGGCCAGTGCTGTGACAAGTCTCCAATGACGAATAAATTAAAGTAGCGGATAGGTGCACGGCCATGCTGTGGTGAACTGATGCGTTCTGGAGAACGTATAGTGGTGATAAGAGGCCGAGTAACCATTAAAGTCAGCTAAGATAGCCAATAAACATGGGTTTGTGGAAAGTACGTGCCGGAGCGGAACAGATAAAGAAAAGGACACCCACCTGACTTGACCACAACAGACAGGACACTTGCAGCCAGGTAACGCCGGTGCTGTTCTAGGTGGAACGTGGTGAATTTCTTCCTCGGATGGGGCGGGAGATTTCGTTGGCTTATGCTGTGACCACAACGCGGAGGAACCTGCAAGTGTTAGAGTGGGTCTCAGGCGAGCGACGAGATAATATCGTGATCGGCAGTTTGGTATTCCGAATTGAAGAGGTGAGAGAATGAATTGCTGAAAAAGATTGGCCAAAAATAAATAGGCGATGACCTCACGTCAAAAATACCACATAAAAAGTGGCTCAGAAGTTAAGAGCTGAAAGAAAATTTGAAACGACAAACCTCCGTGGGACTCGTAGCAGGAATATTAGAAGCTGCAGAGTGAGGCGATGCCGCATTCCGTGTAGCCTCTTCAAGCACATACTTGTAAACGAAACGGTTTTGAAAGAAAAGGACACACAGGATCGAGTAATGACCATCAAACGAGCGACTAGTGTCCGCCGTACAAACGTCATAGGTTCGGTGTCGTTGTAAGCTGCTTTATACGAAGCTTGTCAATAAGCCACAATTAAAAGGCCATTCACTACAGTTCACAAATTACTCAGGTATAAAGAGGAAATAGGACAAAGGAAGCCAACTTTCACTTAGTTGTCGCTCTGAGGAAAACACACAATGAACCATCGTTATCATCAATCCATGTTAGTTGTGGGTGAAAAAACACCTCAGTTAATGTGCCACAATGCAAAGAACGCAGCACATAAAAATTCAGAAAGTGAGTACTCTAAGGTTAAATATTATGTCACACAATGAAAGTCAGCTCTGACTGGCTAACGTAGGCTCGGTCTCCAGGTAAACACAAATATCTGCCGAATGAGCATACAGGTTCACGTCCACACCAGTCCTATAAAGCACGAGGTCCAATCCACTAATTACTTTGCAGGCAGAAAAAAGAAAAGGGTAAGAGCTCTGGCTTCCTCGTAGCTGAAAGCATAAGTGCCTAAAATGTCATCTGTTAACTACAGGTTGTTAGTTTGAATAGTACATCTTGCGGTAATCTCGGAAGCAAAATCGGATGACCTTACCAGAGGCTCACAGTGCAGGCTTATACACTACATGAAAAAGGAGCGTATTCCAGCAAGGTGACAATAATCGAAGTGGGAAGAGTGAGCGCCAAGCACGCGCGCACAAAAGTATGGTCAAAATCCAACTATGGGCTCCAAAGTGACCGACAGTCTTGAACAGATGTGCGTCATCTGTAGCTAATGGTAATAGGGTCAAGCTGGGTCTAGGTCATAGAGGAATTTGGTAAGCGCCAGGTGACGCGATGTGAAGGTTTGTGCTGCAGAACAGTGCTACTAAGATAAAGGTTGTGGTCGGCGCACAGTTGCAGGATTCGATCACCATTGTCTGTACGGCGGGCATTGACTTTGAAGCGACCTCCCAGGTGTGGTCCATAGTCTGGAAGACATTCAAGTCATCAGCATTAATCACGATGTCGCTCGATTGGGAGCACAGGTGTTGACACCGATTATGCACTTGTATGTGCTGACCTGCGGATGCGCTTTGGCGGACGCCCAAGACGATATTGTGAGCGCATTGACACCGGCAGACTGGTGAAGCCAGCTGTTCTGAGCGCCTAGCAAATTACGCTGTCATCCGAGTTGGATAAACGCTCACTGGATGCAATTGAAGCTCATTGGTCTCATATGCAACAGGCCTTACTAGCAGCAGGCAAATTCTCATGTGGTATGTCTAATCGCCAACATGGATATTGGGTCTCTTCACAGTCTTTGGAACTTATAGATGCTCGCCGGCATATTCCGGCTGGAAGCGAACACAATGAAACTCGCAAAAAGCTCCGGGCAAAACTCTGTGCTAGCCTGAAGATAGCCCGCGAATCCTGGTGGTCTCGTCGTGCAACAGAGATGGAAATGGCCGCTGCCCTTGGTAACCATCGCGAGTTATTCCGGCTGAGACGCGAAACCGGCAGCAGGAGACCTGGTGTTAGTGAAACTATACATGACGAGAGTGGACAGCCTATCCACAACTTATCAAAACGCTTAGAGGGTTGGGCTGAGCACTTTGAAAGGCAATCTAACCGGTCGGAATTGTGAGATTTCTCGCCGGCCAGTGATCGTCCTACACCCTGGGTTGTCCCTTTGGATCCACCCTGTCGCTCAGAAGTCGAACGTGAGATCGGACTGTTGAAGTTAAATGAAGCCGCGGTATCAGATGACCTTCTTCCAGCCTTCTTCAAATTCGGGTGACTTGCTCTGATGGATGATTTATACGAGTTACTAGTGAAGCTGTGGGAGCAGGAGGCTGTCCCAACCGATTGGAGCCGCTCCGTCACAGTCCCAGTTTACATAGGACGCTCACGTTCGGAATTAGTCTGATCTCCATCGCCTCCAAATTGCTTGCCTCTGTCATCCCTCACAGACTGACTGGCACTTGTGAAAGCCATATTCGTGAAGAGCAAGACGGGTTTCGAGGTCGTGGTTGCACTGGCCACATCTTCACTTTGCGTCAGTTGTTGGAGCACCGTGACATATATTGGCGGCCCACCGTTGTCGTGTTCCTCGATATCAAAGGTGCATTCGATTCGGTGGATAGACGTGCACTTTGGGACTATCTACTCAGGAAAGGTGTACCTGAGAAATAGGTAAATATTATCCGATCATTATACGCGCATAGCTAAGGCAGAGTGAGGGCTTACGGCAAGCTGTCGTCGCCCTTTAATATCTACAGCGGTGTGAGACAAAGATGCCCGCTGTCACCTTTCCTCTTCAACTTCGCTATTGACGAAGTCATGGAAATCGCGTTCACAGGACACGACTTAGAAGGTATGGATCTGCTCCCAGGAGAACGACTTCTTGACTTGGAGTATGCTGATGATATTGCCCTCATCTGTGACAGCTCACAAACGTGCCAAGTGGCACTGGACAGATTAGCACTAGCTTTCCGTCACTTCGGGCTTTCCTTTGCACCCTCGAAGTGCAAAGCGTTCCTCCAAGATTGGTCTGGACCGAATCCTACGCTGATCCTTGGTGGGGATCAGCTAGAAGTCGTTCAAAAATTCAACTACCTGGGAAGTTGTATCAGCGCCCGTGGGATTGAAGATGAAATCACGAATCGTATAGCAAAAGCTCGGGGCGCTTTTGCTAACCTTCGCCACTTATGGCACCGGCGCGACATCACTCTCACCCTGAAGGATAGAGTGTACAAGGCAGCAGTACGTTCGACCCTACTGTACGGTTGTGAAACCTGGCCGCTTAAAGCAGCGGACCTGAAGAGGCCAGTTACGTTCGACCACCGGTGCCTTCGTAATTTAGCTCACACTTGGTGGGAACACCGCGTGAGCAACGAGCGTGTTCGACGCCTTGTTTACGGCACAGGAAAAGGAAATGAACCGCTCAGCACCGTTATTTCACGCATCAGGCTCCGATGGCTCGGCCACGTGTTACGCATGCCAGCCCACCGACTCCCGCGACGTGCGTTGTTTGCGCGCCGGGGGTGTGGATGGAAGAAGAGGAGGGGTGGCCAAGCGATGACTTGGTCGAGAGGAATAAAGGCCCTCACTCCTGAGCTGGCCTCGGTTGGAGCATCTCGGCTCCCTGGTTGGGGTCCGAAAGACGATGAACACGTTTGGTTGGACACACTTGCTGATATGGCTAGGAGCCGACCTCAGTGGCGTTCGTGCTGTGAGTTTCTTTGTCCCACCCCATCCATTTTAGCCTCCCCCTCCAACCACGATCTCATTATTTAGCCTTATATAATTTAGCATAATTTTTTTGGGTGCACAGCAGCCGGCTGGTAGCTTACCGGAACGATGCCCATCCGGTACCGGTAGCTCAGCCAGCTTGCACCAGTTGCATTTTTCCCTCCTTTTTTCTACGTATTGCGGCACAGTAGCTGAGGTGTTCCCCACCTCAAGCTAACGTGTATGATGATGATGATGACGATGCCAGTATTTTTGCAATAAGAAATGATGAAAGATAGTGATAGAAATCTTCACCGATAGTGTCTGAACTGAATTCAGCAGAGGAACAAACGGAAGCTTTGAAAAGGCACCTAGCCTTCAGACGCTGCCCAGTAACCTCAATAGAGGTACGAAGTTGAACCGCACATATGCGGCTCTTCAGCGGCATCGAATCGAGCAGATTGCTTTCAACAAGCTTGCCGAAGGCCGTAGCAACACCGCTAACACCTTGAGCCATTGACACAGTATCGTCAGATACGCGAAGAGCGTAGCCACCGTCATCCGATTCAGAACCAGTTAGTTGAAAATGTGTCACAATACCGTTGCCCTGCATGCGTGTTTGGGAGACACGGTAAGCATAAACACATGAAGAGTAAAGAGTGAGTAAGTGCTGCTTGCTGGTCGATTGAACCTAGAGTGCGGACGTAAAAAATAAAATTAAAAATAATGTAGGCTGTACGCGATAACGGCGCTTCTTTGCCGCGCGACTACTACGAGTCGCGCGTGGCTCGGGTATACCGCGAGGATGGCCGTTCCTACGTGGGTTCAAACCGGTGACCTAATGATTGCAAGCCAGACGTGCAGACCACTTGACCACCGATCGACACAGCGGACGTAAAAAGAACAAATGTGAGATGAGATTCTAGGTTTGATGGAAGAGATACATTTATAGATGTGAGCAGCTTCGAGATCAGTAGTAGTCCCTTGGTAAATAAGCGGGGAAGATGAGAGTTGAGAGGGGAAGGAAAAATAAAAAGAAGAATGGAAAATATTGCCAACAACGTCGAGCGGGCAAATGATATTTCTCAGCTGACCACTGCAAAAGAAGGGTTTTGTTCGAGGTGCCCTACTTCTAGCCTATGACAGCAGTCTGACCTACAGGGCAGTGGAGGATTTGGAGGTTCGCTTGATGGATTGCAGTCGGAGCCTTTGGCTCAATAGCATGAACCCACAAGGCAGTGGGGAGCAAGTCCAGATCGGGAATGTGATTGTAGAGACCCATTGGGATCTGTTTGAGGTTCGTTACACACAGTCTTTGAGAAGTTATGAATCTGTCCACACAGACAAAAGCAGAGATCACGAAGGACAGCGTTCAAGAGAGACTGCTTATGAAAAGAAACAAAATACACTCAAAGATTATGGTAACCAATAATTGTAGTGCCAGTGAAGTTTCAACTAGCAATCAAGACGGTAAAGGACATAATAAACGGTAATATTTGATTGAAGAGAGGAACTGACCTGATAAACGTAATTACAGTCGATAAGTGCTTGTAGTAATTCTGCCCAAGGTTTAGTTCCATCAAAACCTTTGACGTTTTCAAGCAATATAAACTTTGGGAGCACGCTTATTAGCATCTACACAAGAAACGACAGAACGTACGCAGGTATAAGGCGAAGCACATGCATAAACGAGGAACATCTGTCATCCGTTTCACATTTGTGCTTTCCCAGTCTAGTAAATGGTTGGCATGGAGGGCTCATGCACCACAAGTCAGCACCAAAAGTGCGCGTTTCATGGACTGTCAAACTCTGAACAGTAAAGTAGATTAATTTAGAATTTACCTCGATCTCCCGGTTGATCGAATTCGAAAACGGGAAGTTTCTACGATAAACGGAAGTAGCCGTATCATTAATGTCAATTGCAGCGACAATCGAAAAATTTAGTTTGGTCTCTGGGACGTCTATGTTAGCAGTCACATGTTCGTCTACCAATGAGAGCATAATGCATGCCGCCGACACCGGAGTACAATTCTAATACTCTCATTCGAAGGAGAGCTCGAAAGCGTGATTATATGATAACCTTTGGAAGAATTTTGAATTCAACAGGAAGGTAGCATAAGTTCAGAGCAACATTGCACCAGAGGATATCAAGGAAAGTTAAGGCTATAGCAATAACTGTCATACCTGAGAAAACTGTACAACCATAGTAGTCAAAAAACTGGATCCAGTGAAATAAAGAGGTCGCTAAAAAACGAAAGCAGGAGGGCGAATGTTGAGTTAGCAATAATGCTAAAATCTAGGTGTATCGAGGTAAAGAGAATTGAGATCCATGATAAGATTATAGAGGAATGCAGAAAACAATAGCTGGGTTGCATTGCGCTAGTTTGACGTAATTGAGAAGCGCCGCCAAATTATCGTTTTCCAGATCAGAAGCACGTCAACTTAACAATGGGATCTCAATTGTACTAAACTATCTCGGCGCCCGTAATACTACTTACTCGATGAATCACTAACACTTAGAAAAGAAACTAGCATAATCTGGGGTGCATTCACAAGTGCTGCGTTAATTTCCGGAAGCTGTTCCTGAAAATATGTCTGGGAGAAGATAAAGGATATCCTGGAAAAGTCACTGTCTCAGCGGCTAACGCATTTTTATCGACTATCGCATGGATTTTGAACATACTGGAATATTCTAAGACTTGCAAGTGAATACCAACCTTCTGAAGATCGGCCAGATCTGCATGAAACTACTAATTTCGACAGTTGAGCCTCCCATGTCAGAAGTCGAAAGTCCGTTGAGATCACTGATTTATAGAGGACAGAAGGGAGGTCCCACGTTAGCTCCATCATCTCCAATTCAGCACTAGGAGCACGTCTGTCGTCGAGGCCCGAGAGTCCTCTTGGAACCGGGACCGTTGCAGTATGACAAAACGGTCCAGGTGTCTTACATAGTTGAGTATCCAAGAGCTCTTTGAATGTTTCCTCGGTCGGTGCAACAACAGTCTCCGCTAGACGGTTACAGTCATTCACTACCCCAGTGGAGAGAGCGACAGCGGTGCGGACTTTGAGTCTCCTCGGTTTGTACAGTTTCCAGTTGTGACCCCGTGTCAAGCAAATTATGATGAGCTGGAAGGGCTGCCATAACTCGTTCCCTAGTTCCCCTCTTGATATGCGCCTTGTGATGATGAGGTCTCCACGACAACGACGGTATTCCATGGAGAAAAGATTCATCTCTTGAGGCAGGAGGGAGCATGGAGGATCACGAAGCCTGGCAACGAACTTAGAGCCACGCCTCTGGACATTTTCGGTTAAGGCACATCCAAGCTTAGAGTGTGAGAATGGAGTTGGTAGATCATACTCTAGAATTAGTCGCACAAGAGAAGTGAAAAAGAACCTGAAAATCTTCGATCATTCGAGAGGGATCTTCCTATGGCACAGCACTTCTGATTGCAGTGTATCCTGCGTGCTTTTTAGTTCAGGTGCTACTATTACCCCTAGATTTTTCCACTTCCCTCTCGGCACAAGTGGATACTCAGGAATCCAGGATGGGACACTCAAGGGACGGTCGTTAGTTCTGAATAAATACACTCTGACAAAGAATAAAAAGGCTTTTCCTTTATACATTATGGTGAATACTCTCTACTTCAGTTACTAATATTTGATTTTTCGAGCGCATGGTTCATGCAAATATAACCACTTACATTTCACTCTTAGTTGTTTCACAGCTGTTACGTAGGCGCACAGTAACGTAAGCCGAGTATTAACAGGTTTGCAATATGGAATGCATAGTTGCCTGAGTGCGCACTAGTTTATCTGCATTTCAAAACCGTTTCCATGCGTATTTTTCCTGAGTGTCGTTTCTGCGTCCAAAAAGTGCCTATTCGGGAATCCGATAGGACTCTGAACGGACGCCCGTGGGACTCTCCATTGACACTCGTGAAGACAGGGTGAGCGGCGAATTTGGGAAGAAACCCACCAATGTTCCAAGTGGTTCAGAAGCCCCAATCGGTAGGGTGCAGCACCTTTCATAGTTTATTGATAAGTCCCGCTTGAGAAACCAGTCGTACAGTACACCAAGTGTCACTTGTGGTCGATGAGCTGAGTCAAGACCAGATTCAAATGTAACTTTTTTTGAAATTGAAATGGGGTAGGAACAAAAAAGATTCCCATGGTCGTTCCATCCTGAATGCGTCGTTGATCCACGTTCGAATTCGGTACATAACTGGCCAGTCGTATAAGCCAAATCGGCACGTGCAGAACATCGTGGTCAACCAAGCAAAAGCCACGCGGCCTACGTTAGCAGACCCAGCTGCGTCGGCCAGGTGCAAAGAGAAGATGAAGAATAAAATTGTAGTCTAGATATAAAGCGAGAGAGTGATACAAAAGCTGAAGAGGAATTCAGTACGAGCAATGGAGAAAGTAAGGAACTGAAGAGCAATCAAAAGAAAAAAGAGAGAACGGGTAGATACGGAGCTACAAGTTGTGGGGGTCAAGGCGACATTAAAACTCTGTACCCGTAGGTGACAACACGACGTCCTGGGGTAGCACATTCCAGGAATCTCACTCTACGTGACAAAGGAGTGTCAGCCCAAACCCGAGCAGGTTGAGATTTTTGCGACTTCAACGCATGCCTACGAAAAGCCGGTAACTGAGCAGGATGAAAAGGCTAGGATAGGTCTGGGTCTATCCGCCCTGTTAATATAAGTGTTATCCGCTTAGAAACTTCATCTTCCAGCTCATAAAGCAAATTCGGATGAATGGCATTGATACCAGTGGCTTTGGTAGGATTTCGGTCTAAACGCAGTGAAAGCGCTTTGGTCTCGATACGGAGATATCAGTCAATAAAGAATCAGCCGGAAATTTCTCCTTCAAATCGATAGATGGTAAGGGGACTCTAAGACAAACGTCTTCGCATAATGTTTTCCGAGAAGACAGGTCTTGTAGTAATAAGTGTGCGCAGTAACTCCACTGGGTTCGTGCAACATTGGGATCGATGAATTGGTACGCCCTCGTCTGCTGACATTGCGAAAAACCGAATCGGGTCGGTTGAAGCTGTTTGCTAATTCCGTTACACAACTAAGTCGATCGTCTCTTAGATGCTGCTTACATGCGTTCCGTGCTGTTCGGTAACACCGTAAGGTACCGTCTGGTTGAGTCGAAATATAACTCCGCCAACAAGTGGACCGTCTGTTTAGCAGCTGACCCGCATATCAAACCAGGGTAGTCTGGCGTACTTTTTCTTCCCAACTGATATATTTAGATGCTCCACAAATTAATAACAGAAGGAAGGAAAGAAATCTTATGTAGGATGGCTGCGAGGTGTTCAAGTTCAAGTGTGACTGAAACAGTAGGAAATTCCAGTGTATGTTCCTTCGTGAAAGCTCCGTTGATCCAGGGTACATATCGACGGTAATTTCGACAATCTGGGAGAGCCAAAGCAACGTACACGAGTTACACAATGGTCAACCAATTAATGTCCAAGTAACCTGCACTAGTAGTCCCCGCTGCGCCGGCTACGTGAAATAGGAGTAAAAATATGAAGTAATAGAAGACGGAAATAATCGGAAATATAAAAGTACTAACAGTAATAATAGCTAAGAGGAAAATTTAAGATGTGAAAGGGAATAATTGGAACTGCAGCCCAAGGGCGTCGAGTTTATGCTCAAACTTCTTCAATGTTTGTGATGACACCAGGTCTTCAGGTAATGTGTTCCAGAATCAATTACTCTCCGTGACAGTCGAACGCTGGTCACAACCCCATCGGATATTGGTTTGTGCAACTTCACCGAATGACCACGGAGAGATGGTAGTAGGGTTAGCTCAAAAAGCCAAGACAAATTAGGGCCAATCTGCCATGTTAGAATCAGATGAGTCAAAACCAAGTCATCAGGAGGTCGGTGATAGTGTGGCGAAAACTTGCCGAGCTTAAGGAGTATCTCGGGATAGGACAGATGGCGTAGTCCTTGAGCTAGTTGTGTGCCAATCCTAAGGACCCGCTCCACTGACATCCTATCACGAACCAAGCACGGTGAACAAGCTTGGACGCTATATTCTAGGTCTGGCCTAACGAAGGCCAGAAACAGTCTGGTGAACATTTCCAGTGTAATGATTTCGAACGAGCCACGGATCATCCACAGCATTATGAAACCCTTGCCGGCAGCTTTCTTCCAGTGCCAACGGCACCTAAAATCAGATGAAAGAACAACACCCAGGTCAACCTGCTGGGAAACGTGAGGTAGCGCATGTCTTCTAAGCAGATAGCGTGTGAGAAGATCGCTTGACCCTAGGCGCAGCACTGAACATTAGGCATTGTTAATAGGCATTTGCCACAGAACAGACCAGTCCCAAAGTCTATGAAAGACCTGTTGTAAATACTGGGGACCATCGACGTTGGTCAATGGGCATCGGAATTGCAAGTCATCGGCGAACACGAGGGCGGTAAGCCTAAAACTACGAGCCACTCGTTTACAGATAGGGAGAACAACAGTGGACCAAGAACCGATCCCTGTGAAACCCCACTGAGGATAGATTGTCGGAATGATAGACTTGAAAACATTCTGATATCTCCCGACCTTCCAAGAAAGCCGATATCCATCGAAGTACCTGCTCAGATATTCCATACGAATGCAGCTTTAATGAAAAGCGAGAATGTGGGACCGTATCAAATGCTATAGCAAAGTCAATGAAAAGAGCATCCACAGCCTGACCCTGATCTGCAGAGTTGGCCACCGCTCGCGTGCCATCAGTAAATTGGTCAGACACGAATGACCTTTGCGAAAGCAATGTTGCAATAGGCTGAGCAAAGCAAA